AGGTGGCATTGCATGCAGGTGGTTAACCCTGCTGACCAGGACTGGCCCTCCCAACAGGGGTCCCACAAGGCGGTTCAGAACAGTCCAGCAAGTTGTCCCTGCCCCTGTCAAGTTTCAATTGAGCAACAAGCCTTTTGACCAAATTCCAGCTCTGTGGCAGAACCCAGTTATGCTTCACAAATGAATTCCGTTTTCTGTTTCCAACCTGAAGCATATAACTTCATGGGACCATTTTATCAATTTGGATGGCGTCCAAAAATATTTCCACATGAGGGAAATGTCTCCAGACCCTTGGTGCTGACAGACACAGATAAAAGACAGCTCATCAGCCACTTGACTGAAGGACCAGCCCTCTCTAGGTGGGGTTGTTCTCACCCACCAGTCCTCAGCTCCAGGGGGAGATGTTAGGGACTGTGTGAAAAAGCAGAGGGACCACTCACCTTGCCTGCAGATGGAGGTGTGAGAGTCCACAGTCCCAGCACCTCACACTCACCAGAGGCCTCTCTTCAAAGTCCAGTTAGGAAATCAAATTCTGGGAGACAACGAAGGGGCAGGCAGGCCCTGAGCCCTAAGGAGTGCTGGGTTAATGGGAGCCCCAGCCCAGGCCCTCCAGAGCCTGTGCTTGGCCGGGTCTCTGGACCCTTGTCCTGTCCTAAGCAAGTCTCCAGTGGACTTCTATCTGTAGCCACCACAGAACAAAAACACCATTGCTGTCTCCTGCTAAACTCCAGCCCGGGAGTGCAAAGGGTTGGAACTAGAGATGCCAAAGTGTTTGTTTTTCAATCAGCTTATTACTAAATGATCCCCCCTTACCTACAGAACTCAAAGCATTGTGACCCCCAAATCATTTTACTTTAAAATCCAAAGCTTCCCCCCCCCCAAGGAACCCCAGTCCTGGGGGTTCAGTCATTCCTGCTCCCCTCCGGGGATACCTCGGTCCAGAGCAGGCCAAAGAAGCTGGGGGTGGAGGGCCCAGCGGGACGGAAGTGGCGAGTCTAGAGGCCGAGCCGGGGCGCAGCTCCTCTGCTCCAGGGCGGGACCCCCGCAGGGCGTCCCGAGCAGCTAATGTTTAACCTCCCGCGGCCCGTGGCACCGATCACTGGGACTACAAGGGCCTCACCCGCGCCCCTCCCGGCCCGAATTCCTGGCATAGTTTTCCCAAGCGGTCCGGCTCACCTGGGGGTCCCCGCAGCCGGGAGAGTGGGCAGAAGTCCCAGAGTCGCCGGCTCCCTTTCTCAGCCTCGTCCAGCCTCCCGGCTCGCTCCACAGCCCCCGACTGCCCCAGGCGGTTCCCGGAATCCTCGCCGTTGCCCGGGCTGGGATGCTTCCCCAGCCTCGGGAAGCCGGGGAGTTCTCAGGCAGGGACGGAGCTGCCAACCTGCCGGGCCTGGGGCAACAGAACCTCTCCACGCGAGCAGCTCTCGAGGCCTGGGGTCTGACGCCTCCCACTCCTACAACGGTCTCCCCACCCCACCCCAAGCAGGGGTGGAGCTTCTCCCCAGCCCCGGGGACCCGCTATTTTTAGGCCTGTTACAGAGCAGGGAAGGAGGGAATGCCAAATTAAATCCGTTAGGGAAACCCAGGATTCAAG